AATTGCCCAGCTAATAATGGCATACTTCTCCACAATGGTATGTAATGAAATATTTTTGGTTTCAGTTTCCTGTTAATACAACCAAGGCGTCAGACACGAAACAAGGAGACTCCCCCCACATCTAGCACTCCAAGCCTTTATAGTTATGTTACCAGAGGTTACTTAGCTGTTTCCTGCAGACAGACATTGCGGCTAGTGTATAGTAGGTCAGACACTTTTATGAGAATTGCAGGTTATAATTTTTATCTGACTAAAATGAGAATGATACGGTGACGGAAAAGATTAGTCGCGTTTATTAGAAAAGATCACTGTTGGAGCGATTATTGACGATGACCTTAATCGATTCATACGAGTATATGAAACATAGCAATGTCAAAAGCTGTGATTGGCCGAGTAGCGCTTCGGTCTGATGAATACCAACCTTTGTTTTAGATATCTATTTATATTATTTTCTGGTTTTGTATTTTATATAACAAAGTTATAGAAATCTTGTGATTTTTATATTACAATTATAAGCAGTGCATGCGGCATGTACGACGATAAAGCAACATAGATTCTATAACTGGGGTTATTAGGAAAAAGTAATTGAGAAACTGGGAAAAAGTTTATTATTTTTTTAACAGGTATATAATTGATGACTGTGGATTATATCCAAGATATTACTGTACTGGTGAGTATAAGAATGTTTAGTGAGCGGTCTGAATAACATATGACCAAACCAAGAGGTGCTTCTCAATACGCCAGTTTGATCCTTCCTACGTTAACGTAATCATTAAAACTCTGATTTATACCCAGTCGCCACAACATGGTTATTTAAAAATGCACTACAAATTGTACAGTGCCATTGAAAATTTGATTAAACGACAATGATATACAAAGTACCTATATTAAATGATCGGGATACTTTATGTAATGAAGGCAAAGACATCTGTAAATTCATGAACACTTGGTTACATTCTTGGTTGTATCCGATCACTTCGAGTTAAGTTGTAAGGAGTCAGGGGATTATAGGTTATTATTAATGTTTACATATACCCTATTTCACGCGTATCCATCACGTATCTCTCTACTGAGATGAACAGCTGAACAAGTGACATCTTTGTATTAGTCTGTAACCGTTGGCAATAATGAATCGGGTGCAAAACTAGTAACTTGCTTGTAGCGTCTTTTTTGTACGCAAATGAACTTTTATAAATAAAATACTTCATAGCAAGTACAAAATGAATCTAGCATACAAAAAACCAATACAATATATGTACGGCTTTGTCTACCTGGCCTTGACGGATCCGTCAGAATTATGTCATTTGCGACATGGGCAATTTTGTAATAACACTAAATAATCAGCTGTCATTCTATCGTAATGGATACTCGTGAAAAAGACTATATAGTACAGTATTTGTGATTGCCAAAACCCTCTAATAACTTAATATTTGTTTCAATATATCTATTCAATTTATGTAACCGACAATTTCTCTTGTAAGTTTTTCTTATCATTCATTTTATTTAGACCTTAAATGTAATGCTCATCACCTGTATTCTCGTTCATCATAGTAATGAAGAATATTATCATGTATGGTCGTCACTTGCATTTTGTAGACGAAATAACGAATAGCTCATCAACTGCCATTTCAACCTGTATATATTTAATTATGTGTACATATATATTTCTGATTAGACGCTATATTTTTAATATTTTTATTGGATATGAATATGATTGTAATTGGTAGTCTGTGTTATGGTATATACGTTACTTGAAATTTATATACATATATCTACGTTGGAAAGTCTAATTTGTTGTGT